AGTAAATGAAGGACGTTCTCTGATGTCATCCAAAGATGACCACAAGCCAGTGTGCAGAAAAGAAATAAATGCAAATGCAAAAATATTCTTTATTTGAAAAGAACCATAATACTGAAAAAAACAGGCAAAATGGCAACACACATTACATCACACAGAAAGGCTTAATTAATACAAAACACTTTAGTAGATTTTAAATCACATTAAAAGCTTAATGTTTTGCCATTGTAGGCTAGGCCCATTTTTTTCCAGAGGAGTGTATTTTTTGTCCCCTGCCCCATGTTTATTGGCACTATTTGTTGCTTGTTTATGTGAATAACATTTGAATACAGCATCTGTATTTAATGTTGGATATGCTGGATTGAAAAAGACCTGTCAGATAGTGACATTGTGCTCAGATTTTGTAAGGGTCCAGCCTGCGCCGCCGGCCGCCAGCAGAGGGCGATGGTGGCGAAGTGCCATAACTTCAGGGAACTCCACTTCCCAGAAGCCCTCATGCTGATTAGGCCCAACCTGACACACCTGTGGACTTCTCTACTTATAATAAACAGCAGCCCTTTGTCACACCTTTGTAGAGGGGCGACTGATGCAGTATGCAGCCCAGGTGGGTATTTAAACAAAAAGAAAAGAAAAGAAAAAGAGGGCTGGAAAAAACAAAAGAGAGTAATTGCCCTAAAATTACCTAAAAAAAAAAAAAGAGTTTTGTCAAAGCCATGTGGGTAACCTTCCATAACCCCATCGTGGAGTAGGCACCCAGGAGCTGCCCTACACGTTAGAGAGTCTCTATGATGTATGACACCCGCATGCGTCAAAGAGACTTTGACCGGAGAGTTGGGACCTGCCTGAGCCCATGCAACTGGGTAGTGCTGGCCTGCCTGATCATGGTCCTAGGCCTCAGTCATTTTAGGCCAGGCGCCCTGGCAACACCAGCCACCCATCGGGAAACGCACAGGCCTGCTCCGGTCAGGGGGACTGGTGAGGGGCCAGTGTTCCTTCTCCCCCACTTCAGGGCTCTACTTGAAAGCAAAACTTTCATGGGGGCCCTGTCAACACACCACCTTGCAGGACTTCGTTGACTCAGGGGCAGCAGAAAGCTGTCTTGATGCCACAATTGCTGCTGAGCTGGGCCTACCCATTGAGCCCCTGGAGCGTCCCCTACCAGTTATGGCCATCGATGGCCAGTCTCAGGGTTCTGTGTCCATCACTCATCGCACTGGGCCAGTCACTTTGTGAGTGGGCCCCCGCAGTGAGAGCACTGTGCTGTACCTCACCGAAGCCCCCCCACTTACAACTGGTGTAGTTCCCTTGGTTGAGATAGCACAACCCTCGCATTGACTGGTCTACACAGTCTGTATATGCGTGGGACCCCTGGTGTCATTGCCTGGTCGATCCTGGCCCCCTACGAAAGGCACCCTCCCTCAAGGGTTCCTCCATGCCGGACCTTTCAGGGGTCCCCAGAGACAACTGGGACCTCCAGGAAGTCTTCAGCAAAGAAAAGTCCCAGGTTCTGCCGCCCCACAGGGAATTAGACTACGTCATTAACCAGCTCCCAGGCACCACACTGCCCCGTGGCTGATTGTTTGCGCTCTCACCCCCTGAACAGGCTGCAATGGATGAATACATCCGAGAAGGTTTGGAGCTGGGTTTCATACGCCCATCCTCCTACAGCCAAGATCAGAGCCATGGTGGACTGGCCACCGTCCTACCTCCCTCCAGTTGGTCCAACATTTCCTGGGACTTCTTCCGAAACTTTGTAAGGAACTTTCCCAATGCCTAGGTTCAGCCAAGAAGCTCCACCTGTGTGCATTCTTCTGCCGCCGTCTTACTCGCCCTGGAAGAATGGAGGCACTGGCTTGAGGGGTCTAAACATCCCTTTGTGGTCAGGACCGACCACGAGAACCTGGCCTACATCCAACAGGCTCAACACTCGCCAAGCTCGATGGGCACTGTTCTTTAGCCGCTTTGATTTCCTGCTGTCTTATAGGCCAGGCTCTAAGAACACCAAGCCAGATGCCCTGTCCATACAGTGGGCGCCTCCGGGGCCTGACCCCTCCCTGGAACCCATTATTCCTGCTCCTTGGATCTTGACCACTCCGTTGGGAGCTGGAGACCGCCATCAGGGAGGCCCTACGGCAGGAGCCAGATGCTGGAGGCAGTCCCCCTTGTAAGCTGTATGTGCCTGCAACTGTGCAGCAACGGGTGCTGCTATGGGGGCACACCTCCCCATTTTCAGGACACCCGGGGTGAATAGGACCCTGGACTTTTTGCGCAGGCGATTTTGGTGGCCTAGTAAGGAGAGAGACACCCGTGCCTTGCGAGACATGTGACTTTGGAACTGGCACAATGGTGGCCAGTTTGGCTTGAACTCACACACGCAGAGGTTTGCGCCTGCGCAGTGTACTTCAAGTAAACATGCATAAAAAGTTGACGCTCGCCTGTCTAGTGGTGTGGCTGACTAAACATACTGTGATTAGGCTGGAGAGGGAGACATTATCCTGTGGAAAGAATTTAGTTAGACGTGGAAAGCAAAGCTTACTGTAACTTCTTCAGGTACTGTTAACATTCAGATTGGTGGCCATTGAGAATCCTTTTTTTGCCTGACAATTGCTATAACGTTAGATGTAACTATAAACATTTGTACAGTGTCAACTTTTTCAGCGTCACAATTAACATTTACAGTTCTACAAAGTCCACCCTGCAAGAACCCTCACTCATCACCACAGCCCCTCCAAGCTGCTCATTCTTCTGGGTCAAGTTTTCATTCTTATAAAAAAAAAAAAAAAAAAACAGGGATTCTGTGAAACTCACAGAACTTCATACCATGTACCTAATAGAGCAATACCAGGGTTTGCAAGCTGGTGATTTATTACATTGTTATTCCTGATGAGAATGCAATATACAATTAATTAAAGCATCATTCATGTTCATGTTACCCAGAACCCCCAGAGCCGTTGCCACAACGAATGTCCGTCCATGGGTCTGATAATGAGTAATGATAATATAAGATTGATTGCAAAATGTATTAAACCTTGCACACTCCCAGTCACAGCTAAGTGAAACATGGATTATTTAGAAAACCAAGGCCTTAACATCATTATCCTGTGACATTAGCTCACCTTTCTACAAAATGTTGTAATTTACTGAATTCTCAGAACAACCTACTCGGAAGTGGTTTATGACTCAATCTGGGGCAGTCTCAGACTTTGCCTACAGGTGTGGTCGTGTCATATCCCCTTAAAAAAACAAAAAGCGGTGAGAGAGAGATATACTTCTTGTAGTGATGAACACAAACAATTAAAGACAAAAATTGCTTATCTAAGGCCTTTTCAAAATACAGACACTTAAAACGCAAAAACAAAAATTGAGTTGTTTAAATGTTTACTCTTGTCTTATTGTTGTTGGCTTTTTTTTCCCTTTTACTGTTATTTCATTAAAAATTATTTTCCATTTCACTGTAATTTGACCAGGACAGACTTCCATCTGAGACTTCTTCTTTCGGATCTTATCTCTTGTTTAAATTCAGGAAAGTCAAGTTTCTCAAGCGTTTTTGTGGTTCACTAAGTGATGTAACATGCGTGTTTTTGTTGCTAATCGGTCGATGACACACTAAGAGAGGATTATGCAACATATACTCTAAGCGTGGGGATAGGATGGGGAGGGTGTTGTTTTTCCAGCTCTCACTTTAGATTAGTCTGGCCATAGTAACAGTACTGAAACTTGCTCTAGCTCTTCAAACTACTAACCATGCACCATCACTTGGTGTGCTTGGAAGAGAATGCTAAGTGCTCTCAAAAGAGAATAAATAAAGGGAATATAAGATAGTATATTTTAAAATGCAGCTCAAAGTGCTTTACAAAGAAAGAATGATTTTTAAAAAGTGGAACATACAATAACTGAAAGGAAGGAAGCAAATTAAACATCAATTTAAAAAAATACTTTTTTTGTAATTTTATAAAAAAACTGGATTTCCTCAAGAAGAGATTTGGAAATGATTAAGCTAACATACCTCAAATCTCACTGTACAGGGTTTTACAGGTTTCAGCATGTGCAGGGTGTGAATCTAGTATTGTGACTTAATCTCACCTGTTGTGCCGCAATAGCAAATATCCTTAGTCATTAAAATATTATATACACAGGATACACTTCCTTTTAACGTCATCTGTCCCCTCTGATCATCCTTCACAATGCCAGGACTTGCAGTACTGCAATCATTATACAGAGATGGATTATCATCTTATGTGTTCCAACCTGCATTTTTGGTGAGCGTGATGGTTGTAATGCATCAAAACACAAAAAGATGAAACATTTAAATCTGCAAAACATTCAGCATGAAAGCTTTTCCTGCTAAACTTGAATTCAATATGTGTTGAATAACCTTAAAAGTTTCTGCTGTTTTTCTGAAAAATGTTTTTCCTTTTAACTGTATTCAGGTAGTACTGCAATTAAATACTTGCACTCTTACTTAAATATGCTGCCAAAGAGTCATTGCATCACACATCACCAGAAAAAGAAAATACCTATGATCTATGAATTAAACACTTTATCTGACATGAAACCTTAGACTAAGGTCTGCTTTGTACAGATCGTACTTCTTCGTATTCTTCATAACTTTCTTTCAAATTTCATAAGCTACATTCAAAAATTGGGTGTCATATGAGAGCTATAACTGTCTTCTTTCCAGTCAAATAGATGGGTAATGTAATTTTAAACCCTTGTAACAGAAGAAGCTGAAATTTTTTTTTGTCTACTAAAAGTTGACCCATTTTTTCACAAATCTGGGCCATAAACTATAAACAGATGGACAAATTATTTGTATAATACAAAGAGCAGTAAATTGTAAGCATATAGCAATATGTGTATGATTATAAAACACATTTTCTGTTCATTTGAGGGGAGCTTTTACAAAAAAAAATTAATAAAATAAAATAAAAACATTTCATTTATTTCATGCAGTTACTGAATATTTTTTTCTTATGAATACTTCTTTCATTTTGGCACAAAATTCTCCACTTGCGCAACTTCCAAATTTCCAAAGCCATGCCTATAAGAGAGCAGCTGCTAAACTACTGGGACCAATACACATCTTAATCTCTAAGACTCACTAACTACTGGTATGTATCTGAAAGGCTTATGTACTATTATTATTAATTGAATTATTTTAAGGATGTGTTTTTAATCATTTGCTCAAAACCAAAATTCTAATGAGGAAAACATTTTGTATATATCATTTTATTTAATCTTAATTTCACTTAAAGAATTGCTGCAACTAATAATATCTCTATATTGACCCTATTTTACAGAAATGGCAGACAAGAACTTGTCACTGGTAGAAAGGTAAGGCATTTCCTGAACTTCCATGAATGGCCATGAATTAAATAACACTGTCTTGAACGTGTATGTGGTTAATTAGTGAGCCTGTTTGTTGTTAAAATGGGAATATCTCAAATCCTATACTAAAGATACTCTTAGTTTGTCTATGTTTACTTTTAATTTCTGGAAAAGCATTCCCCATAAACCCAACTGGATGACATATGATTCTGTTGTTAACAGCTTCTCTGAGAGCGACAGTGCGTTTGAGTCTGACGGGACAGATTTTGATGAACTGGATTGCTCTGACCCTTTGGCCATGGTAAGAAATATAATAATAATAATAATAATAATAATAATAATAATAATATTGTTTATTTATATAGCACCTTTCATACTTTAAAAATGCAGCTCAAAGTGCTTCACAATACAAAGTAAAAACAACAGAGGAAGAAGAGAAAAAAGATAATCAAAAATAAAAACCAAATGTGAAACCAATAATAAATAGCAGAAAAGGGATATATTAATAACTGCAATTTAAAGTAATAAAAGTAATAGTAATATTCCACTAAAAACAAAGGAAACAATAAAAAAGATAAATGCTAAAGTAAAGAAATAAGTTTTTAACTTATTGTTCTTTAAAAACATTGACAAAAGGAGCCAGACAGATGTTTATTGGCATTGTGTTCCAGATCTTTGGTGCATAAAAAACAAAATGCCGCCTCTCCATTCCTTTTAAGTTTCATACATGGAATATGGAAACGGCTCGCAGTTGATGATCTTAAAGCTCAATTTGAAACATAATCTATCAGGCACTCAGAAATGTATAAATGTGCTAAACCATTAAGAGATTTAAAAACTAGTAGTAAAAGTTTATAGTCAGTTTTTTTAAACCAGTTAAGTTTTCTAAACTGTGGCACAAAATGACAACTTTTGTGTTCCCGGTCAAAACTGACTGGTATGATTTATTTATTGAAAACAATAGCCCAAATGTACATAAATATGTAGAGAACCAGTTTAACGCAATTCCATTAAGACCAACCAAGTTCCAGCAAGACTGGATTTTATCATGAGTATTGTGTTCGTTTAAGAAATCATTAAGCTGTGAGAAAATTGTTTTCAATTATTTTACTTGAAAATGGAAGGTTAGAGATTGGTCTGTAATTGCTAAGAACTGAGGGATCATGGTTATGTTTCTTCAATAGTGGCCTTACAACTGTTGTTCTGAGTGTGTCTGGAAAAGTGCCGGTTTCCAAAAAACGATTTAGACAAAGGCTGTCAAATACTTCTTTAAAAATGCTGTTAGAATAGGATCTCACAGGTAGAGGAATTTAACTGCATGACAACTTTTTGAAGTTCTGTCTCAGTAATCTTTTTGAAACTATTCATAGTGTTTTGCTGTTGAATAAAAATAGAGTCTACTATTGGTAGTTTTGAAGTTATAAAATATGACTGAATGTTAGTGATTAAAAATAAAAACATTATGCAAAATCATTACTTTTTGATGTTGAAGCTTGGTGATATAATCATTGGTTAATTTAGGATTTAACAGGCAATCAGTTATTGAAAATAAAACTCTTGGATTTTGTCTGTTGTCATTAGAAAGTTGTATTGAGTAGTATTTCAGTCTCTCTTTTCATACTGCATTGTTATAAATATTAATATATTTTTAAAGTATTTCATAGTGAATAATTGGTGTAGTTTTCCACCGTTTCTGTTCTGTTTCGCAGCAGTCCCTTTTCAATTGCTTTATTTGTTCATTTTTCCATGCCATTTTTGTGGTCAATGACTTCTTTTTAGTTTTTTACTGGTGCAACAGTATCTAAAATAGATCTTAGCATACAGTTAAAATTGCTGACTATGTCGTGCACCACTGAGTTAATAGGTAGAGTTAATAGGTATCATAAAATCTGGTTTCTGCTCAGAAATAAGATCATTCACACGTACTGCATTGTGATTGCTTGCTAAGGTTTGAATAGAGTAGTAACTGTTAGTACCAGATGAGTTGCTGTTTGTTTTATTTACTTCTCTACCTTCTATATATCCACTGTATCCAAATATATCTCCAAAATTAGCATTGGTCTGTTTCATCTTAACCCCTTTGAGTTTGAAAAGCTTTGCAAATTTTTGTAGTGTTGTGCTTTTAGCATGTTCTCTGATTGTGGACTGTGTTTGTTTTCAGAGTGGCAGATGTGACTTGCACAAAGGGCTCCGGATTGAGATTTCTGAGCATCCTCACAGTATGAGACAAGTGGCAAACATCATAATTGCCCTGCACAAGATCAAGCACACTCAGAAAGTCCAGTCCACAGAATTCACCGACCATGCGCTATTCAACATCGTCATGGAGAGCATAGTTGAGGGTAAACTAAACCTTTGTTTCTCTGCTTTGTTTTACTGTCCTAATAATCCTTACCAAGCAAGAAATCGTGGCCCTCTGAAGTGCTGGTTGTCCAAGTGGTGCTCAGAAAGCAATGTGGGATTTGTAGATGCCACATAGGTTCCACCAAATAAGCAATGTGGGATTTGTAGGTGCCACATAGGTTCCCCGAATAAAACAAAGCATCAAAAATCCTCAAAAAATTAGTTCTACTAATTTGATTAATATCAGACCAGCTTAACATAAGATCTCTTACATCTTAAGGCCGTCATTATAAATGAAATTGTAACTGATTATGAAAGTAGGATACAAATTCTCTTCTTTTGAAATTCTTTTGTTTAACATAAGTGATCAAAGAACAATTAAGAATTCCTTTTCACTAAATACAATCTATAGGCCGCCACGGCCATATTCTCAATTCTTACAGAAATGTTCTTATTTTCTATCAAGTTTGATAACATTTTCGAATAAAGTAATAACTGTCCGAGATTTTACTAAACATAGATCATGTAGCCATTCTCCCCCAGAGCACAGCAGTCTCAGATCATTACCTAATCTCATATGAAATTTGTTTTAGCCATAATGTACGTTAACCATGATCCATGCTATCATGTTAAGTGGACTATAACTTCCTCCCCAGCTGGTAGCTTTATCAGAAACCTCCCACAATTATCAGCTTCAATCAGCTGTCCATGTAATCCTACCGAATTAGATATTATGACCAAGTGCCTAGAAGATACTTTTAGTTCTACTTTAGATAAAGTGGCTCCATTAAAAAGTAAAGTAATAAGGCAGAAAAAGCTTGCTCCATGGTATAATAACAGACTGTTAGACAACTAGAGCGAAAATGGCGCCTGACTAAACTAGAAGTATTCCAGTCCACCTGGAGGGAGAGCCTTATAGACTACAGAAGAGCACTTACTGCAGCACGCTCCACCTATCTCTTCTCTCTCAGTAAAAATATAAAGAATATTCCTAGATTATTATGTAGCACTATTTCTAAATTGACTAAGAACCAAACAGTTACTGAACCTCAGATGCCATCAACCAACAACAGCATTAATTTAATGAATTTCTTCAGTGAGAAAAAAAAAATCAGACAAAAAATTCACAACACACAGTTAAATTCTACAAACCTGCTGTCTTACAAAGCCAATCGAGATCTTAAGAATATTGTAACTACTGTAGAAAGGCTGGAAACATTTACCTTACTTCAACAAACTGAGCTAGTAAAAATAGTTTCCTCATCAAAATCTTCTACTTGCATATTAGATCCAATTCCTACAGGTTTACTCAAAGAAATTTTGCCAGAAATAACCAAGCCTCTTCTGTCAATAATAAACTCCTGACTTAGAATTGGCTATATTCCAAAAACTCTTAAACTAGCTGTAATTAAACCTCTGATTAAGAAAGTTAGCTATCAAATTATAGACCTTTCTTGAATCTTCCCTTTATATCAAAGGTCTTGGAAAAAGCTGTGGCAAAATAATTAAGTTTCGATTTGCATAGGAATGATATACATGAAAAATTTTAGTCTGGTTTCAGGCCACATCATAGTACAGAGACCGCACTAGTGAAAATTGTAAATTATCTTTTATTATTCTCTGACCAAGGAAATGTATCTTTGCTAGTCCTCATTGATCTTAGTGTGGCATCTTACTAGATAGACTAGAAAACCTTGTAGGAGTAACAACAATAGCTCCTTCCTGGTTCAGATCTTACCTGACTGATCGCTATCAGTTTGTAAATGTAAACGGCGAATCGTCTGTTCTTGCAAAAGTGAAGTATGGTGTTCCACAAGGCTCTGTTTTAGGACCCTTATTATTCACATTATATATGCTACCACTGGGCACCATTATCAGTAAACACGGCATCAATTTCCACTGCTACGCCGATAACACACTGTTATATGTCCTGCTGTCTGGAAGTTCCAACAAAAGCCTTAACAAGCTTCAGTTAGTCCAGAACACTGCAGCCAGAGTCCTCACAAGAACTATAAAGTTTGACCACATCAGCCCAGTTTTATCACACCTACACTGGTTGGCAGTTAAATTTTACATTGATTACAAAGTTCTTTTACTGACATATAAAGCTCTGAATGGCCTTGCCCCTCAGTGCCTGAGTGAACTTCTATCTTACTATGAACCATCATGCCTATTAGATCACAAGGTGCTTACTGTAAGTGCCTAGAATTAATAAAGTTAAATCAGGGGGTAAAGCCTTCTCATACAAAGCCCCCCCAACTTTGGAATAATCTTCCAGTCAGTGTTCAGGACTGAGACACAGCCTCAGTCTTTAAGTCTAGGCTAAAAACCCACTTGTTTAGTCAAGCCTTTGGTAATTAGTTTTTCCTGTTAGATATAAGGTGCAGATCTGGGGGTTCAGTATTATGGTAAACTGGGAGTGTTGGTGCTGCCGTCCCACTGCTCTCACGTGTTCACTCAGGTTTGCTGACAGTGGAGCGGAGGGACGCCAGCATCTCAGGGAGCCTAAATGTCTCTGTTACCTTCTCACTTTCCCTTTTAGTTATGCTGTAATAATTAGACCTGCCAGATTCCTAGCATATTCCAAGGCCCTGCTCTTGTTTAGCTCTGCTCTTAAAATGCAGAAGTCTCAGAAGTTGCTCTAAGATGCCTTGTAGGTTGATCTCTCGTCTCTCCGTCTCACACAGAGAGTGTGGTTATGAAGGTGAATTGTGAATCTTTGAGGACTTACAAGCAAGGTAGAGTCATCCAGTGCACCGTGTGTGACGGCTTAAAGAAGAGCCTGGTGCGGAGCCAAGGTGCTCCCAGCCTGCTAGCAGTCACCCTAAAGGGTGGCAACAGCAGCCAAAGTGGTAAGTGTCCATCAACAAAATGCTTTTTAGTCTAAGTTTAAGCTTAATCTGGGTCATGGAAACTGTCCTTTTCTCTTGTTTGACTAAAACTTTACCATCCTCTGCATGGCTCAACAGTGTGCATGAACCTATCGACCTACACCACCCCAGGGTGCAAAGCCACAAACGGCCAGCCAATATGTTTGAGGATTGCTCAGAGCAACCTGTATCTCGCATGCACAAAGGAGTCTGGAACCTCCTCTCAGCCTCATCTCATCCTAGAGGCATGTATACATGACCATTTGAGAAAACCCACTGCCTGTGCTTACACAGCTCAGTTCATTTGACACAGTGCATTTTAACACTGAATCAGCATTAACAAATTCTTTCTCATCTAGGACGTGAAGGACGAAGAGACTCTGAAGACCATTGAGGAGAATGATGACATGGAGCGTTTCCTCTTCTTCCGAAAAGTTACTGGAGACTCGATTAACACCTTTGAATCAGTGAAGTACCCTCACTGGTTCATTAGCACCTCTAAGAATGAGTCTATGCCAGTGGATATGTGTGTTGAGGAGGACACCAGCCGTCAAAAAGTCTTTTCACTCCGAGATCAAAAAGTAATCTAAGAATCAGATTTGATTCACGATACTAGTTTTCCAGAATGTATGTACTAAGTACAGTTCTAAATCTGGAAGCTTGTGTTATGTTTGAGTAAGTCTCAGTTAGAGAGTCCTGACCAACGATCATACGTCTTTACACAAGAAATTTATTTCATAATTAAATGTAAACTGGAAAAAGGCTGGTGTAGAAATGTCTGAGATGTCTAGTGTTATTTATATTTTTTATTATTTATTTCAGGAAATCAATGGTCCACATAACTTAATTTATATAAAATTATTTTTCCTGTACCATTCGTTTAGTGTTTATTTTTAATTATTTTCTATATTTATTGTTTTATTTAAATTTGCCTGTGTGCGTGTCAACATGTAAAGTTGGTAAATTGTATTTATTACTGTTGTATTTATCTTGAAATAATTATGTTGCAAAACCTGAGAACTTGTAGGACCTAATCTGAGAATTTAAAATCTGTATTTGTATTTTCGATCTGAGAACTTGTAAAATAAAATCTGAACTTGCATATAAAAATTTGCACTGATAGAAAATATCCTCACAACTGTTCAGAGAAAAAGTCATAAATGTATAAATGAATACTAAGATAAATACAAATATCTTTATTTGTACACAAATTCATTTTTTGGTCCGCACAACTTCAAATCTGCTCGCCTCGACTTTTGAAACACTTCTCTTAGTAGACTTGTTGCAAAACTGAGTTGTGCACTTGTAGCTGATTCACTGAGGTGGCAGATCTTGGAAAGGGGTGGGGAAGTGGGGATGAGACGTTATTCATGACCAATCAAAGGAGCTTATTTTAAAGCGCCAAAATAAATAAATAAATAAATAAAATAAAAATAAAAAAAATAAAAAAATAAAAACTCTTGGATGCTGATGCGCAGGAAAACGAGCTTTCATCTGTCTTGGTCAACAATGGCATACCAAAAACCGTCCCAACCGTTCATTTTATCCATACTGTTTTGCTAATACTTCAAGCATGACAAGCGGTATTAGGTAATCAATATTAAAATATGATCAAAATAGTCACTCGATGTAGACTCAAACTGTAATGACATTATGTAGCTAGCTTACTAGCGACGCTAAGCTTGCTCAAACACAGCTAACACAGTTTGGCCTGCCATAGAAATTCTGAAGGGTAGTTAGCTAGCTAGCAAAGCCTGCTGAATAACTGTACCTAACGTTACATCAGTGGTCACCAACGCTGTTCCTTCCTGCAGAGCTCAGTAAGTTACCAACCCACAGATGGTGCAGATAATTGTAGCAGTGTTCAGTTTTGCAGTCCTGTTGGTAAGCAGAAGCAGGTGTGTTAGCCAGCTAGCTACATTTGGTTTAGAGCGTAACTCTCATTCCACCCACCCAGGGAGAGCGAGGCCAATTGTGCTCTCGGACTCCCGGCTACGGATGGCTGTAGCATCACCAGGGATCGAGCTCGCGATCTCCTGATGATAGGGCCAACGCTTAGACGGTTGCGCCACATGGGAGCCCCATAAATATTTATTTTTATGACGTTTATGTAATTTTTTCCCAAAGGTCTTTTCCAGCAGTCTACAGTAATCAGACAAGAACTAAAAGAAAGGCACCTGAACCTCCAAGAGTGACACATTTCCTAAAACTGCAGTTCTGCTTGCAAGAGGAAAATACAAACAGAAGTCCTAAAGATGAAACATTGCTATTGCAGCAGGTTTAGGCAGAAGAAAGTATAAATATTTCTGATGATGCTGATCATTCTGAGGTTAGCAGTAAATGGTTATTAACAGTGAACGATATTTTTCCCAATGCAGTTTGTATTACAAAGGTACATTTTCCCTTTTCACATGATGGTTGCCTTTTTAATTAGTGTATTAGCAAATTAACCTGATTTTTCTTATAGTCAGATAGCACAGTGCGCCACACTTTGAAAATACTATCAACAACTATTACTTAAATTATTTATGTGCACTTCACACACTGTGCTGAACTAAATCTAATTAAACATTACTTATTATGCTCTCTTTTTAATGAAACATGCAGTTAAGTACTTGTTGAAATCTACAGTATGCTCAGAAAAGCATATTCTGACCCATTGTGGCATATTTTATCACAACAACTATAAATATTGTCATATTACCCAGCCCTATATATTGTTTGTTTTTAATCTTCAGATTACTTGAGCACTACCTGAGGAATATCCCGAGCTGCGAAATTTGCATGGTGGATGGCTTCTCCACAAAGCAGTTTGCATTCTGGTATTTAATTGAATGCTGTTATGTTGGAATGAAGACTGAAAATATTGAAGTCTTCCTCAAACAACGGCAAGAACATCATCTACTTCGTTCCCCTTCAAGAAAAAATTGACTTGACCCCGCTGCCATATGATGCCCTGGAATTCAAGAACATGCAAAAAATGTTTGCATGACTTGCAGTACATCAGTTCCTCTTCAGCTGCTGCCGTTTCACATTGAATCCTGTCAACAAGATGATGTAAGTGATATAATCAATTTCCAAGCAAGGGCAGTTCCATACCTAACTAATTTTTTGTTAGTTTTGTGTCCTCAGTTTGTTTGGACAGGTATGAACATGTTAACTCTGATGTAGACAAAATCGTGAGACCCAAATGTGCCTGCCAACAATCAAATTTGAGTGCTGTTGAGATCATTGTGAGCAATCCATCAGACATAGAGGGATGCTGTGTTATGGTGCAGTTAGTTCATGATTTAAGCAAGTGCTAGTAGTGCTTCTGCTTTGTATTACCATACTACCACAATAAGACTCCTTTTCACATTCATCCCTACTTATAACAGACATGTCCTAAATTATTTTTCTGTAAAATAAGTTTTTCTTCTGGTTATTCGTCACATAACTGCATAGTGCAACACTGGATTTCATAGTGAACCTTCTTCTATCCTCTTTACACTCCCACTCCCTTTGAATTTTTCTCATTTGGCATTGTATGAAAATCCATCCATACATAAAATTGCAACAATTTAGTTTTAATTTTATATGCAGAAACATTTTGTAGTCTGTGTAGTGGAACACCTGTTTGTTTTTCTTTGTGTGGTACGGCTACCTGGGGTCTTTGGGGCAGGCATATATACAAACACCTTGGGGTCCTGGGAGCATTTCTTGGTTTATTGCTGCTAGGCTAAGTCGGCGGGCGTTGGTGTCAGCATTTCTTGTTGGAACCGTGGGTTCAGTTTTTACTACATCAAGGTATGTTGAGTTGTATGTTGCCTACTTTGCTCCTGCTGCAATGCTCGTATTTAGCGATTTTAAAGTAGGTTTATTCTTGGCTAGTGTCGAGGCACTGGTGGACGGGCACAGCAAAGCTTGGGTCCTGTTACCTTTAGCCACTTGGAGCTAAGCCGGTGCGAGTGGCGACAGCAGCAGCGGTGCGTGTTTTAGTTCATTTAGTGTGCAATAAGGTATGCTGCCGTGTCTCCCGCCTGATTACTGTGATTTCTGTTGGCTTAGCTATGGCCAGTAACATGATGTTTTGTTTGTGTACCTAGCCAAATAGCATGGTGAATTTGGAGCAAAGTCAGCACCAACTGTAGCGTCCAGTTTACATCATTGGCCTTAGTACCCCAGATATGTTTTGATTTTGTATCGTGCAGAATGTTCTACTTCTGTTATTAGCGTTTGGCTCAGTAACATGGCTGTTTATGAAGCATTTGAGTGTAGCTTTTAGCTGTTGCATTATTGCTGCTTCAAATTACTGCTGCTAATAGATGTGTCTTGTAGTGTAATCATCTATGTTAGACTTCAGTCCATGTTTCTGAGCCAGGCTATCAAGTTATTCTTATACTAAGTTGTTCATCTGTATGTGCCTTACGAGGGATGAATGTCAACAATGTTCTGTGTCTTTTCTTGTGTACTTTACTAGATTGATTACAGCATATGTCCTGTGTCAGCTGCTGTTCTCTTACCACTTGTATTCTTTGTTTTATTATTGAGTTTCAATTGTATGCTGCTCTAACTTTTAACGAAAGTATTTTATTGCCTAAGCTGCCCTCTAGCTTGTGGCCATAGTGTGTGTGCGCAAACGGGTATTTGGTGTATTGTGAGCCACTGGCTAGAGGGATTGCAAATTCTTTATTTTTTTTATTACTATTATTTTCCCTTAGTTATATTGCAATCTACGTGGGGTTAAGTTTAATCCAGGGAGTTTGGGACGGAGGAATGTTTGGGGATGGATTGCTGTGTTCACTAGAATGGTAGACATTTGCAGTGCAGTGCATTTGGAGTGATTAGCATGTATGGCTGGAATGGTGTTTTTTCCTCTTCTATTCATGTCTGTCACTGAGAGAATAATCTTCCATTAGTGTCCCAACAGGCCAAGGCTTGAGTAATCCCCGTAGTACTGTGAATATTTTTTAGTACTGACTGTTTTTATTTCTTTTTCTGTGTTGTTTTATATACTGATCTGACAGTCAGTGTATGACCTCAGCTTCCTTTAATAAAGATTGTATTTTTGTATTTTCCTGAACCTGAATTTGTGAAGTTACTATGGTCAGAGCTCCCCTTTGCTCTAGGTATAAACCAAGGGGTGGCGTAGTCTGGTATACAATAACGGGGCCGCCACAATTTTATTGTGTTAAATGTGAATGGGTAGGGTGCAGTGTTAATGAAGTTTTGAAGCTTCTATGTAGTTCCTTGGAGAAGTCAGCATGACTTATATTGCAGCTTTTTATGGATGTCTCAGATGCAGTACACTCCTCTGTCAGTTTTCAAACCGCCAGACATCTGAAATGTAGTCAGCCAATGTAGCCAACTATGGCATACAGAAACGCAGAACATCTTGCCCTATTAATTCATTTGCTGCACTACACTTTGTTGTAAAACATGCTCATATGACATGCATTTGTGCCAAAAAGTGTTCCAACAGCATTTAAACCAATTATACTGTATTGTTTTCATCTCTGGTCAAGGATTCTGGATCTGTAGCAGAGGAACAGTCAAGCCGAGTGTCAGATTACTTGTATGGTGAGCAGATATTGACATTAAAATAAATAAAACCACCGACAGTTTGTTCCACAGGAATGTCACAGAAGAAAGTACCAGTGGTTTCTGAAAGCACTGCAACTGAAAGCTGTACTGTTGGCCTATCCAGTTCTGGCACAGCAGAATGTGAGTCAGCAGAGCTGCAAGGTTGAAGGCCTGAAGGTTGTTGTTGGTAAATTTATTTCTTTATTTATTTTTTGGTAGAAATGTGTCTAACTTTTTTCCAGCAAGGAAGAGGGCCGAAGTTCCACGAAGAGCAGCAGTGCTGTACAGAATGGGTTTGCTACAGGAAAAAGAAACTGAACCGCCATTGAAGTTAAAAATGGATATGAGAGAGGACATGGAAGACCAGGAGGGAAGAGTTATCAGCTTTTATAAGGTCCCTAAAGTAGACTGAGCCAGACCACTCTACTGCAAACTGAAAGGTAAATTGAGCTTTTAGATGATTTGTTCTTAAATGACCTTACTTTGAAACTATATGATCTGCTTGTGTAAAATATTATTGACAACTTGTCTTTTGAGCTATTTACTCTTATATATAAAGGTGATTTAGCCACTGGAGAGGGTGTTAAACACCATTTCTTCAGCATTGTAATACACAAGTTGCAAAGGGGATTCATCACAGATTTTGGTTGTTCAAAAAGTGTTCTTATAAAAGAGGTGAACTTTTCTGTGCAATAACCTGCATGAATAAAGGAGAAACATGTACCATATGTTTGCCATTCTTCCTGCAGGACATGGAACCAGCATTGTGCTTTTTGAGGGCCAAGTTAATCACCTAGTCCCATGCATCTCTCAAGTTCTTGTGTGGAGTGATTTGTTCTTAATAGCAGGGAGGATGATTGGCCACTCCTTTCTCCATGGTGGCCAACTGCTTGCTGGTCTGAGCCCAGCAATTATCCATGTACTATTAGGTGGTTCCCTGCAGACAGCAGCCATCCTGCTTGAAGATGTGGTAGACATTGACATACGGGAGACATTACAGCTTGTAGGTTTGGAGTGTAGTGGGATGTGCATATGCCATTTCAGCTACTCAAGTTAAACGTTTCATGTTTATGCATAAAGTTATATACAGGCAACGAGGAGTTAGATGATGCGAAGAAAGATAAAGAGCTAAATGACGACAAGAGGGGAGCTGTTAATCAACAGGCATTATCTTGGGACCTTCCCGTACTGACAGCAACAAACCGTACCTGGCTCTTGCACAGTTTACTTCAGCATGCTGTAAGTTTAAAAGACCAGTGTTTTTCTAATGAGAGTTAGCCAGTTAAAACTGAGGCTGTTGAAGTTGGGTATCAGTATGCAGGCTAATAACGATACCTTAAAGGGAACCCTGACTGTGAACTGTGCTATTAAAATAAAAATGCTTTATTAAAAATAGACAAAATCCCTATACTAGCAGGTTGCCATTTTTGTTAATAATATACGAAAGATTTGCATTTGGTTTGTACATAATTTTTAATAGCATTGGACTGAACAGTCTTAACAGTCAGGGTCCCTTTTAAACCACAGCACAGCAGAGATTTGTATTTTTTTTCTTGCCAGACCTCATCCTTGTACTTGCCATTGTAGCTACCAGCCAGGGAATGGTGAAATATTAAATCTTTATTGTGGCAGATTTTCCTTTAACACAAAATATTTTGTAAATATTCTACAAATACACAATATTGCCAAAAGTATTCGTTCGTCTGCCTTCACACGCATATGAACTTGAGTGACATCCCAGTCTTAATCCATAAGGTTTAATATGACGTCGGCCCACCCTTTGCAGCTATAACGGCTTCGACTCTTCTGGGAAGGCTTTTCACAAGGTATAGGAGTGTGTTTATGGGAATTTTTGACCATTCTTCCAGAAGAGCATTTGTGAGGTCAGACACTGATGTTGGACAAGAAGGCCTGGCTCGCGGTCTCCGCTCTAATTCATCCCAAAGGTGTTCTATCAGGTTGAGGTCAGGCCAGTCAAGTTTTTCCACACCAAACTCGCTCATCCATGTCTTTATGGACCTTGCTTTGTGCACTGGTGCGCAGTCATGTTGGAACAGGAAGGGGCCATCCCCAAACTGTTCCCACAAAGTTGGGAGCATGAAATTGCCCAGAATCTCTTGGTATGCTGAAGCATTAAGAGTTCCTTTCACTGGAACTAAGGGGCCGAGCCCAACTCCTGAAAAACAACCCCATACCATAATCCCCCTTCCACCAAACTTTACACTTGGCACAATGCAGTCAGACAAGTTCCGTTCTCCTGGCAACCGCCAAACCCAGATTCGTCCATCGGATTGCAGAAAGTTGGTGACCTCTGCGCACTATGCGCCTCAGCGTCCGCTGACCCCGCTCTGTCATTTTACGTGGCTTACCACTTCGTGACTGAGTTGCTGTCATTCCCAATCGCTTCCACTTTGTTATAATACCACTGACAGTTGACTGTGGAATATTTAGTAGCAAGGAAATTTAACGACTGGACTTGTTGTACAGATGGCATCCTATCACGGTACCACGCTGGAATTCACTGAGCTCCTGAGAGTGACCCATTCTTTCACAAATGTTTGTAGAAGCGGTCTGCATGCCTAGGTGCTTGGTTTTATACACCCATGGCCATGAAAGTGATTGGAACACCTGAATTCAATGATTTGGATGGGTGAGTGAATACTTTTGGCAATATAGTGTATATGCAAGCTATAACTGTCATGTTGTGGCAGAATTTGTAAAATGATTCTCCTTAAGGCTATACAACATAGCACTCTATGAAAATGCAAAACTGCCTTAAAGCAATTTAACCTTGTCTCCTTATTAATTTCTTATTAATTAAATGACTCTAACACTGAGTCCCTCTGACTGTATCATGTGATGAGGGGTTGGTTACCTTCTTAACCACCTATTAAAGTATGCATGTATTCAGGGCGTAATGTTAGTGTTTGCTGTATGTTCTGTTCACATTGTATGTAGATGCTCACTCGAACCTCACAAGTAAAGCAGCTCAGGCAGGGACTGAAGGCGTCAATGATATGGCCACTGTTCAGGCCAGGCCAGAACACTCAACAGCTGAATGCAATGCTCAGGTTTACCATTCCATATCCACATCTCTTAACCTTTATACACTTAATCAATCCATTAATGGTACTGTATAATCTATTACATTTATGTAGTTCTAGACAACATCACCAAGCAAGGAAGAAATGGATAACGATGATGGCTTCCCAGTCGCTGTCAAATACAGAATTGCTGGCTACCCATGGCAGTTTGTGGAGACTGGTATATTATTGTAACATTCTTGTACATGCATTTGTGAGCACACACAAAACTATACTCCTCTGTTTTAAAGCGAACTTTACATAAAGCATTCTTTTTGTAAGATGGTTTAATGTGTAACTTTTAGAGTACTCTAGAAATATCTATTTTTAGTTGCATATTCTATTATGGTGGTATAGGATGATATAGTATGTGCACCAAAAGGGGGAATTGATCTGTTTCAACCTGCAAAAGATGGCAATATATATAACATATATAACATAAAGGCCCAATCCCATTTCTTAATTTTACCCCTGCCCCTCGTTTTTGAGTGTCACCTTGCCCCTTGGGAGTCAATTACAAGGGGTAGTGTTTGTAATCTTCCCTACAAAATGGTACAACCTTAAAATAAAAAAGAACAATACTTCATTAACAGGCTGCTAGTTACTAGCGGTGCTCTTTAGGCAACACTGCCCATCTGCAGTGATAGCAGAGGAGGGTTCAGCAACCTCACTGCTGGGCTTTAGTTACATTTAGGGCATCATATGCTTTCAAGGGCGGGGGGTGGCGGCAATGGTTTATTATCGCTCACCTCTGACTCTTCAGTGATATGAAGCCATTTGAATGGTGCACCATTTAAGGTGGAACAGAAAAATTAGCTAGCTATGCTTGTTATAATACATAATACATTGGAATGACATTAAACAAAAAAAAACTGCAAAAAATACTCACATTTGTGGGTTTCTTTGGTCACTTGCGCAGTCATCTTTCTGGTGATTCACATGGCATTCTAAAAAATCACTCAACTTAGTTCAAAGTGACATCTTGCACTTCTTAAAGGGTTTTGGTTTCTCCCCATTAGTTTGTATGGTTCTTGCAAACCAGTTCTCCATTATGCATAATGTAGCTTTAACTTTTATTTGTCTCCATTACAGTAACCCAAGACAAATTGAAGCAGTTGGTAAAATTGTGGGTGGGCTGGGAGCTGCCCATGAAAGACATACAAGTGGAAGTGATGCAGGCAGCCCATCCATAATCGTCCACCTGCTTTCATATCCTGCGCTTACCTGATCACCACACAAGCTAAGGTCTCTAATCATTTGGAAGGTTGTATTGCTTGTAATGACAGTGGGTTTGGACTGATATAATTATGTAGGAGAAGAAGCATCATGTGGTAAGGGGTTTTTGCAGTTATTAATTGCAGTTATGAAATACACTCATATGTTTAAATATGCAACTTTTTATTTTACTTACAAAGACCTTTTTGTTATGTCAATTCATGTTAAACATATTGTTGGTTCACTTGTAATCATTTCATTGTCCAGGTTATAATACTTTAGATGTTTTAAGCCTTTTAGATGTTTTAGGAAAACTATTCAGCCATTTAATAGCTCTTTAGACAAGTTGAGGTAAAAAAAAAAACTAAATGTACCCAATGTTTTGTATGTACTGCAGTGCCGCTAAATAAATATCAGCACCAAAACTTGTTGACTCTTATTGGCTCTACAGTAGCCTTTAGTCCAGCAAATTCATCAGCTGTCAGTGGGCATTCGATTTCAGGGACCTGGATGCCAGAGTTGGAATCACTGGGCAGAAGTCCACTGCTTTCCCAGTCTATTTGTGGAATGTTCAGATTCTGTCAAATAAAATTTCAGCTTCAGTGAATAGAACTACAAATGTATACATAAATGGGGGGAAAAGCATTCATTGGGAGAGTGGTTGCCCTCTGTGCAAATAGCCATCTCTGAATATGTCAAGGTGGGCTTGCACACGTGGAATGAAGGCATAGTGGCAGCTGGCACATGTGCAGGCTGTTGAACAGATCAAGATGACCTTCATCCTCAAGCTGATGCAGGACGTTGTAGAACTAGCTGGTGACTGCTGTGAATACTTCACGCCACAAACGCTCAATTCTGATAAAACAAAAATGCCATCAGACACACTGGTTATGTAGGAATTGTAGATACTCATAAGCGTTTATTCATAATTACCTTTGACTGTGGACGCTTCTGCCTGCAATGAAGCTACTCCTTCCCATTCCCCGAACACAAGCCACATCAGTGTTCTTTGCTCCATGATCGCCCCACACCCTGTTAAAATACAAGTTTGGCAACAAAACACTGCATAAGGTTAAACGTGATTCTCTGTAATGGGGTTCACCAATCTTGGCCACAAAGCCTGATGTGCCTTTTCTCTGCAACCAAGCAGGACCACACCTCATATAACTGATCACTTATTTGAATGTTGAGACTAACGGATTAAAACAAGTAAAATCAGGTGTGCTTCTGCTTGATTAGAATGAACACCTACAGCCATATTGGCCCTGACAAGATTGGTGACCCCCTGCTCTACATGTTTCACCTATACTGTCCAAGGCTCTATGCAGGACACTTTACAGGAGATTAAATACAACAACTTTTGGTAACACTTTAGGGTACTGTTTATAAGGCTACATGACACCTGCCATAACCCTACATCCGGAGTGTTCAATCTTATCCACAAAAGGCCTGTGTGGCTGCAGGTTTTTATTCCAACAAAGCAGGAGATCACTTGATCGGTAGTTTGAAGACTGAAACCAACTGATTAAACAAATGGAATCAGGTGTACTCTAGTTTGTTTTGAACGAAAACATGCAGCCACACTGGCGCTTTGTGGATAAGATTGGACAACCCTGTCCTACATAAATGTTTATAAATGCTTATTCCAGTAGGCTATAAAGGTTACATTTGCCAATTTTAATCAGAGTAACGCTTCATAGCCTTTATGACAGATGATGCCTACTGGAATAAGCACTATAAGCACATAAATTTATGTAGGGTAATGATGGTTGTCATGACAAGCTTTTCTAGGTGTCATGTAGCCTTATGAACAGCACCCTACATTTTTTTTTTTACCTTAGTGGAAATCCAAACTTTTGAACTGCGTCATTGAAGAAAGCCAGATTGTTATTTGACACACCAAGATACATTATCTAAATGAAAAATACAAATTAGGAAAAAAAAACAAATTTAAACAAAGGCTCAGGAGAATGCCATTAAAGTGTTATTCGTCACCTGAACCATTTTATTTCAAAGACTTCAATCTTTGAATTAATTTTGTCTGGTGATCAATATTCTCACTATGATATACAGCTATATGTAAGGCTATCAACTAGGCCTATTATAGGACTACTTCAAATAATTACACTTACTATGTGTGCTATGTAATATATTGTAATACATACACATGTAAAAAATAATTATATTTAGTACCTTCCTGGAGAAGCCATCTATGCCTCCAAAGATCACCATGTTGTACCTTGGTTAATGAATTAGATGTTAAATTTACTACAGTTGATGCCAAAGATAAAATTGGAACACTATATTACTATTTATTTTATTTCCATTGTACAAACCTTATCACCTTGTGATTTGTATCAGTGTGCATCAGTGACTTTAGGGCTGGTACAGAATATCGCTGTTGTCGGAAGAAAACCTCGTATCTCCATTTTTGACATAATTTGAAAATACCTGTTGCCTTCTACATTGTGTGTAAATTTCATGAAGAATGGACCAAAAGGAATGTCTGAAAAAGACTTGGAAAAAAGTCTGGCTCCATCGACTTACATTAAAAGTAAAGTCGTTTTTTCCTTTTCCTGTAAAGTTACCATTTTGGAGATACAAGGTTTTCTTCTGACAACAGCGATATGTTTTTCTGATCACACAGCCCAACTCTGACATTCTGGAAATGATGCCAATGGCAATCCATGGGTTTCTGGTATGGATTGTTGACACTAGGGAGTCCAGTTCTTCATCAGTCAAGATGCTGTAGCTTGCCCTCACAGATAATCCCCACTCTGCCATACGCCTGTGTATACGTGTCACAGGCAATCCCAAGGAAAGAAGCTGGGATGTATAGTCCTCAGAAAGCCCTATCTTTGGATGACCATTTATTCCCTTCTCATGCTCAATAGTGATGCAGGTCTCCTTGTTGTTTAGACAGCATGCCATCTGGTGAACCTCTGCAAGTGCATTATAAACATCTTGAGGAACATCTAATTTAGTTGAGACTGAACTAAAGAGTACCAGCTCCTGTGAACACACAAATTCTAAGTAATCTATATTAAGAGGAACATGGTCAAGCCAACTCAGAAGTTGAGTATGGAGCCTTTCCAACAAATGGCCAAGGAACAGTTCCTAATACAAAAAAAGTAAAGTAGGTTAATTAATACTAGCCCAGATGATACAGATTTTTGCATACCATAGCAAAATAATTTACCTAATCACTCCTAGCTAGATTATAGCGGACATACAAAATAAAGTGAACATATCCCTTTCTTTTCTAGCTAGCATTAAATTACATCCAATTCTGAATGTAAAAAAATTGTGTTGTGGGCTAGTGCCACCAACTTGTCACTGATAATTCCAGAAACATGCCTACACCAATCCTGGATATTGTTTAGAGCTATCTAACACTGAATGCGAAAACCATCATACTGGATTTTAACAGTTAATGTTATCAAAATGTTTACAGGTAAATACATTAGCTAATAACCTAGATAACTTGCCAGCTAGCATGCAGGCACCATCTACCATTAAATCCATGGCAACACTATTAAGAAAATTGTCATAAGTTAATATTAATAATGTTTACACTAGTGTTAACGTTACCAAAATAGGAAGAAACTTACCATCTGAGCTCGTCGTTCCATAATCCAACAATTGGGAGACTTTCTTAGCTAGTTATTTGGCGTTAAGCAGCTTGGGTTGCTTCACCTGGTGGCATCCAGGCGTTGTTTTCACACTAAAATAAGCTTTGATTGGTCATGAATAACATCTCATCCCCACTGCCCCACCCCCTTCCAAGCTCTGCTCCCTCAGTGAAGCAGCTACAAGTGCACAAATCAGTTTTGCAGTAAATCTACTGAGAGAAATGTTGTAAAAGTTGAGGCAAGCAGATTTGAAGTTGTGCGGTCATGTTTAAGAGGTTGCGGGCTCGAATTTGTGGTTTTAGACCAAAAAGTGAATTTGCATACAAATAAATATACTTGTATTTACCTTAGTATTCATTCACACAGTTATGATTTTTTCTCTGTGACTTCAAATTTAAAACACAGTTGTGAGGATATTTTCTACAAGTGAAAATTTTTACATGCAAGTTCAGATTTTAGTTCTACAAGTTCTCACATCAAAAATACAAGTACAGATTTTATTTCACAAGTTCTCAGATTAGGTCTAAAGGTTCTCAAGTTTTGCAACATAATTACCTCCATTTATTTATTGCAAATTTATTTCTATTTATTGAAAAGTCTGTTTTATGCTAATGGTAAAAAAATAAATGATGTCTTTCTGGTAATTAAACTGACAGTTTCTGGTTCTCATATTGATTCAATCAATGGGTTAAAGTTTTTAGCAGTATTTAGAGAAGAAGCTCTGGTTTCATCTGCCTTCAGTGTGTCTTTGAGATAATTGGTATTACAGATTTCACTTGCAAAATAGCAAATCTCATTTAACTTTGTACATTTAACTTTGATATCTTATCAAGTGATTGAGATTTTGAGGTTTTATTATGAGGTTTTGTCAGAAAGCAGATTTACAAAAATCCAGTTTTATGTCCTTAAGGCAACAATGACAAGGAAAAACTCCCTAAGAGCAAGAGGGAGAAACCTTGAGAGGAAAAGGGCTTGGTCCTCCAGAGAAAGGTTAAGTGATTTAAAACCAAAACGCAGGTATTTTGAATGATTTGTTTAAAATTACCTATTAAATACTGTATCATGGTCAGTGTGTTCACAAAAACTTATCAGACATCTCCCTTTGAGATCCCCCTCAACAGTTATTATAAATAATTTTACCACTCTGTCTATCATTTAGGTCCTATCTGCTGAAAGTGGAGTGGAGTGCTTGGACCCCGATGATCACACATTGCGGGTGTAATTTGCAGGTGATCGTTGAACTTTCATAGAGGTTATGACTGTCAAACAGAAACTAATGTCTTCTATGTCAATTTCAGACAAAAGGTGGCAGCTAATTGTCTTGGTTGCAAACAATGAAAATTGGTTGCAAACAATGAAAATTTCATAAACACAGTAAAGAGTGGAAATTACTGCCAGCTACAGGTTTAGCCACCTTGAGATAGCTAAAAGGTGGTAATTTTTAATCGTTACAAAGAGTATAATGTTGACGTCATGATTGGCCATTCAGTTCTAGTGTTTATTAAAGCAATAAGCCACAAAAGGCCAAGCATTCCTGCAAATTTTATCACAGGGAAGGGTGTTCTTAGGCATGACACGAAACGTAAAATATAATGAAACACAATCTTTCAGAAAATAATTTATTATTACTAATAATAGTCATAAACAAGTATTCCACCAAAAGATGTAGCTCTGTTAGCATACGGTAAACATCGACCACTGAATGAGGAGAAGAACATTCAGTTGCCCATCACTTTTTAACTTTTTGCCTTATAACAATGCACATATGATAACACAGCATTGTTTAATGCAAA